TGAGTATTAGTTGTAATTAGGGTTGCAACCCAGGTTGTAATTCGTAATGTCCGTAATTATTACTTACGGCCGGCAACTTTAGCATATATGTCCTATCTGACATATCGGACACATATTAAACATGTTCCAAATGTATCTACTAGTATCGCAGAAAGTATAAAAGCGATACCTCATTCCCTTAAACTCAACTCAGCTCAGAAGAGTTCAATAAAATAAATTCTCAGATGAGAGAATAAAATCCCTTTGCATAAGTAACCCCGATACTACATTCGTTAACCCACAATTACCCCCCCGATTTTCTATAAACTGACCTTGACCCTGATAAACCCGGACCAAATCCTCCACGCCCTCTTTCTGCCTTCCACTATTAGGGTTATAGTTAGTTTAGTGGTAGGTTGTAGAGATATTAGTGGTGAGACCATCGTCCCGACCTACCCTCGGATCCCGGACTCCTATCCAGCCCTCAACACCGGTTGAATAAGCTTTCAAAAAAAGCACGGGTTGTTACATAGTACTCATAGGATAACTGTTATTACGTTTAAGAACCATATTAATTCCGACCCCTCCCTTAAATTATAAACCCCTTCCGATTAAATCACTATCGACCCAAATATAAATATATTACTGAATCCCATCGTTTATACTTACCTATTCGTTAGAAATTAGTTAATTATTACGTTAACTATTGGAGCTAAACTGTGCAACGTTACTCGCTCTCCCAATTTACAATAGTAACAATGGTATTGGTGATGGGCGTATGCACTGTAATCAAAAGATTATGCACATAATGCAATAATGTTACTATGAACGTGAAATATGACGTTAATAAATTTACTTTTTGAATTCGAATTCAGAAAAATAAAGTTTTTCGGAGGGATGCTAGATTCTTTTCATCAAGTGTAACTTGTGTAGATAATAATTACACGTGGTGCTAAATACGTACATATACTTGAGCAATTGACTATTAGAGAAGTCTTTTCGTTGAGAAAACTCTCTTAAAGAAACGTTTGTTTGAATCACATGTTCATAAACTACTCTCCCGCCTAAATTATTTGTTATATCATTTTCATAAATCTTACTCAATTCATTATTATTTTAACTCTTTTTTTTACATAAACTTACTACTCTTGGCGCTTCTCGGCGCAAAATTCTACCGAAAATTCCCTAATTCAAATATGGAAAGTACGTGAACTCAAATAAAAAAATGATTTTAAATAATCCGATCATTATATACGTTTGCCTAAAGCAATAACTTTTTCTTGAACTTCACAAGATTAGTTTAAAGCATACAAATAGTAATTATTGCATATTAATTTACCAGCGTTTTCTTAGTAGCATATGTACTTATGTATCTATACTTCTATATAGAAACTAGGAGCAATGCCTTCGCTTGCTACTAAAAAAAGTAACGGTAATACTGTTCTCCTGATCACTGTGAGTATTAATTATTGTAATTACGTATATCTGATATTTTTACTCATTGCCCTAATTACCCTAATTATGTTGCACTGCTAGATTCCAGCCAAGTTCGTATCTTATGCTCATACTGCTTTGGGTTATTGTAAGTTTGCATCTTATAGCTATTATGAATTGGTATAAAATTCTAAACGTCCGGCTTGCGACCTTATGTTGCTAAGGCGGTGTTTATAATTGCTTTTAGGTGCATTTTTATTTGCCTTCTTTGTAGGATGTTACACACATTATCATAAGATAGTAAAAAATGAATTTTATGGTTATCCTGATGTTCGTATATATCAATTATTATTTATTGTAATTGTCATTGTTATTACTAGTTGCCTTCATTAATGAGTATTCGTTAACATTAATTTAATTTTACTAATAGGAATGGTTTCCTAGTGTAAGCGCAACAACGGGTGACTGGTATCCGGAACGAGCTGTTTTTCAAATTATCATCGCATTAGCTTCTGGTAAGAACAAAAAAGTTGGTGCTGTGAAATCATAATTAAATTTTCTAATTTTTAAACTCTAATATAAGGGCCCCGATTTATGTTGGTATTCTTGTGGTTTTTACTTATTACAAAATCTCATCCCACTGGATCTCTCGGTTTTGCAAAGTTTCTTTTGGTTATTGGTCTAATCAGAACTTTTTCATGCGGCGGCTGGGTTTATATTACATCATCGGATGACCATGATGTGCACGATATTGCCATGATTACTTATCTTATTTGCACTCTACCATGGATGCTTGGTGTACTTTCGACTACACCGCAAATTTCTTATAATTCTCTAAAATATCGACGTTGGCTGTGTATAGCGTTTTTTGCAACCTTAGTACCTATGATTTATTTTTACATCCAACATAAAGTTCATAGAATCAAAACTGGTATCTAATATTTTTTCGATTTGATTATTTATTTATTTTTTATATCTTTATTTTATATCTTTATTCATTTAATTTTTAATATTATCTTTCTTTTCCACGAATAATATGATAAATATTTAATCTAGCATATACTTATTATTCATTTTTTGAATGGTCTCTCATCCTTTATGACGTTGCTTTTGATTCTATTACCTCATTTGACTTTAAGAGTTTCCAATTAGCCATCGTAGATGTCTCTGGCACGTCCGTAATTGCTGAAAATCATGCAGGGTACGATCTTGTCATGGATAAACTTCTCTAAGTTAATACTTCATTACCATTCTGGGTATAATATAATTCAGACAGTTTTTACACTCTCACTTTATTCATTATAAATATTCTCGCATATTCTGTATTGATTAATTTAAATATTTTGATGACGAATCTATACGTCTGTGTTCTAATAAACCGTGTTCAATTATTTTATTATTCATATCTCTTGAAAACATTCCAGATTATTGAATGCTAAAAAAAAAAGGTAAGCTGAAATTTATATCGCACATATATAGAAATATTCACATAAAAATCTATGTATGATTGACTTTGGTTATTGGTTAGAATATTTGAAAATCCTTATATTGACTATGAATGATTTATGCTATGTTTTCAGTTATAATAACACTGCGTATAAAAGTTCTTTGGCAAGATTCTTTCGTATATTTACCGAAATTTTCTCATTTGTTACTGATATCTACCTTGGTATGTTGATCTGATTATTGAATGCCTCGCATTATATTGCAGAGTCCTTTTCATATTTATCAATTCATATTTATTATCTATATAATAGCGTTCGTTTTCTGGTCAATGCTTACTGCTCTGGCTTTATTAATTTGGTATTTCCCCTTATGGCATATGGGCATTTCGGGTTATGAAGTTTTTTTACTTGTTACTGTAACTCCTGGTTTTTTAGCATTCAACATTGTGCGCAGAATCGTTTTCAAATATCGTGGTTTTCTTCATTTATTATCGTTGTTTGGTGTTGCGTCCTATACAATAAATGATCCTGCTTCTAGGCTCATGGCATCTGCATTTGGAATCGGTATCAGTCTCTTAACATGGGTTGGTACATGGATTGGAAATCGTTCGGATAATGGTCTATTAGAATATGATATTTCGGTTTGGAGTCTTGGACTTTTATTGCATAATGTCGTTAAAATGGCTTGGTACTCAAACAATCCTGTTTGGCCTATTATGAACGAATTTAATGGTGGCAAGAATGTAATTGGATTATTATTCGGCATTTTGGCTTGTATAGGATTAATTATTCGAGATATAAATTACGGAAAAAGCAAGTTAACCGATAGACTATCAGCAAATAATCTTCCAGAGATTAGTGAAAGCTGGATTTTTGCATCGTTCGGTCTTGGGGCAATAATGTTTGGATTGCATTCCATGTTTACTGATTCTTCCACCATCATGCGCTGGGTCGTTGATGGCTATCCTAATTACGGACCTAATCCAGTCCCTTGGGGTGCTGTTACCATTTTAGCGTTGGGAATTGGTTTACTAATATCAACTAATTCAAAATTTTCAACAAGCTTGTCATTGTACGGTGTTGGATGCTTTTGTTGTACAATTATTTATTTTATTCCTTCCTGGATTGGATATTATGCTGGTCTTATTCTTGGTACATATTTTATGGCTATTGTTCCATATTTTATTCGGTCTGCAATACTTCACAGTCCTGGTAGGACTATGTTCACAGCTATGATGGTTTATAATATTTTTTGCCTCGCACATGTATGGGTTGTTGCTTATGAATTTGTTCCTGGTGGCCCATTAGCTCGCGAACGTACAAATTGGATCCTAATATTTATGATGGCATTTATCGGTTTAGGTGTTCGTAATGCCTCTAGTGCTATTAAACACTATAAACATACACAACTTAAAATGATTAGATCTGTCAGATATTATACTCGTATGGCTGTTTTTACAATTATTATTCTTAGTATTTCTGTCGCGTTCGCTAGATATACATCCGCAAAGACTCCAGTTCCATACAGACCCGAGCATAAATTATTTACCGCTGGTATCTGGACAATTCATTTTACCCTTGATAATGATATGTGGTCATCAGAAGTGCGAATTAGAGACATCATTAGGGATTTAGAACTTGATGTCGTCGGTAAGTTATAAAATATCTTTTTTTTTTTTTTTTTTTTTTTTTGCAATAAAACTTATTAAACACCAATTAAACATGTTAAATTTCATTCGTGTTTAAGGCCTATTAGAATCAGATACTCATCGTATTATTATGGGTAACAGAGATTTGTGGCAGTACATTTCCGAAGATTTGGGTTACTACTTAGATTACGGTCCAGGACCATCCAAGCACACTTGGGGCTGTGCCATGCTTTCCAAATTCCCTATAATAAATTCAACACATCATCTTTTACCTTCTCCTGTAGGCGAACTCGCTTGTGCAATTCATGCGACTTTGGATGTTTATGGTCAACATGTTGATTTTATTGTTAGCCATAATGGACAAGAAGAAAATCAATTGGATCGCGAACTACAGAGTATTGAATTGGCCCGAATAATGCGTCAATCTTCCAATCCGTTTGTATTCCTGGGATATGTCGTAACAGAACCGTTCCAGCATGTTTATAATATCCTTTTTAATGATGGTCACATAAATGATATCGATCCATCTGAGACAGATAGATGGTGCGAATATATTGGATACCGTGGATTAAAAAGAATTGCTTTTGCACGAGTCAGTCATGGAGCTATCACCGATACTGAAATCCAAGTTGGTAAATTCCTTGTGATTAATGATCCAAATGATAATTCGATTATCAGTAATACACAAGTTTCAAAGAATCATTATCCAGTCTCAATGCGATTTTCTGAAAAGTTATATAATGAAGGAATTCGTGGTCATCGATATGACGATTCCTACCCTCGTTATTTTGCATAGTTGCTGTGTGTCTTTTTTCTATTTCAATTATTTTATTTTCATATTTAAGGATTAAATTAATTATATTTTTAATTAAAAATCTTTATATTTCTATATATTTCATAATAGATTCATTATTAAAAGTTTTTAATTTTTTTTATATAAAAATTCACAGCACATTGTTCATTGTTTTTCTCACTTTTCATTCATGGATTTTTGTCAAAACAGTGATTCTTTTCATTTAAGATAAAATAAAATTATAATTTATCAGCACAGCGTCCTTTACTTTTATGTACCTAGATTATATATATAAATTTAATAAAAAAAGATCAATATCATATGGGCAGATTTGAGGAATTACTATTAACAATGTTAAAAACTTTAATAGTGAATAACTCTATATATTGATTCATCTTGGATGATTTTACCACCAAAATGACTGTTTCGATGAGACGATTCTAACGAGCCCAAAATCGTTAAAATTCATTCACGAATTCTGAGATTATTAAGGTTTTATTTATCTCGGGTAAAATAGGATGGGTTTAACTAGTGATATGCCATTTATATGATATCCAGATTTTTTAGCGTACAGTATACGTATGATATATAAACTATCTATATGCAAAATTTCGCAAGGAATAATTTTACTTAGAATACAAAAGGCGGTTTCAT